GCTGTCGGTAGCGGATCAGCACAGTTGAAGCTCCGCAAATCGGCTTTCATCATCTCACTTCCGTGAACACACCACCGCCATCAAAACGAGAAGACTCTGTTGGCTCTCCCAAGAAGATACTATGAACGCAGGATATTAGGATGCATCTCACGAAGAGCCCGGATGATGAATTCAGTGAACGGAAACACAGATTCCCGATTTGAGTAGGGCACTTGGTGGTCTTTTCTCCAGCATAGTGTTTCCACACGGCGGAGACCAGTGACAGTATTTTTAAATATAAATGTATCGATACGGTAAATGAACCGGAACCGTCAACTACATCCAACGAGCACTACTATCTGACTGTCTAGTACATCATGGTCTGTAAACGTGCAAATAGCGCATAAAGTGTATCAATAGGCTACGGTGAATCTGGGTCGTTTGGTGAGGCTACTTTGGTGCACAGTCATTGTCGTGTATGTATGTTCATACATGGATGTAAACAAGTGAGTGATAAGTCATGCTCCAAGCACGGTTGTCGATTAGGCCACACGAGTGCGAAACGACAGCAAATACAAATAGATACACACAAACACCCATACGTTTAACGGCGATTAAATTGACCATGACCCGTTAGTCGCGATGTTGGTGTTGGTGCGAGGTGCTGCTTTATCTGACCAGTTCGATCGTGTATGTGTATGCGCCTCCAGCATAATTGCAACACGGATAAGCATAGATCAAAAGCGAGGTTACACGGCTGTAACCAAGCTAACGAGGAGTATACGGCAGTGGTAATGACTCAGATGAAACAGCTGTGTCGATTGCAGCATGCACGTACGCGCACACGTGAATGAAAGCGCACAACACAGGCACGTGACCGATCGAAACGCACTCCTATGCGAGGCACAAAACATCCGGGAAGCAGAGGCATACCACAGAACAGCACAGTCAGATAAAAGTACTCAACAAATGCAATTATCGATCTATCGATCAGTGAACTTTTTGATCACCATCATGATTGTTGCTGCTGTGTACCGGCCTATCCAGGAGGACCTCGAAGTAGGCGGAGGCACTGAAGAAGGTAAACTTTCAAACAGAAACACAACGACCGGATAGCCTAAATGACCGCACCCATTCTGAATGGATGAAAATAATTCATTTGGCACTCGCAGAGGAATCCGTTCCGACCAATTATTGCATTACTGAAGACAAACACGTCAGATAACACTATGTGGTCAACGAGACCATGACCAATCAGTTTCAGTTTCATTTTTCACAACCATTAACGATGCACTTTCGTGCGCCGGTTTTGGTTGCTGTTTTTTGGCCGCCCATGACCAGTCAAATGGGTATCGGTTAGTGTGCTTCTCTGTCAAAAGAGCAACTTAACAAACGAAACGCTTAAATCATAACGCATACATGGCACAGCTTATTTTGCATTGTGTTGTATTGTGTATAACTTTTGCAAGCACTGGAGCTCACATTTCAATTAAAAAATCATACACGCTAACCGTCACAATATACATAATCAACGGGGAGAAAAGTTTTTACAAGCATGGCGACATTTCATAACCCCAGGTCAAGACAAAGTTCACTTATTGTCCGCACTTTGTTCATGAATAGACGAGCAAGATACGGTATGGGTGAATTTCGGTATGCATTATTCGAGATGAAATCTGATGGAATTGGGAGCGTGCGAA